AAATACTAAAAATAACATAAATTCATTCATATGAAGATAACATAATAATAATAAAATAAATAAATACAAAAAATGACAAATTCCATTCCAAAGCCGATTATTCACGATTTTGGTTCCTTTCAAGATTAGGCCAATTCTCAGTTCTGATTCTTAATTATTGTTATTTTGGAATCAGATTGGAACTTCTAATTTTGATTTATAAGGTTTGATTCCGATAGGGTTGGACAAAACTCTTGAATCGAACCGAACTAAATCGAATCGAGCGGTTCTTCATAAGTTAAATACCCGAATGAGTATCTGAATTGAAAATCGACGAATTTGGTTCGATTCCTGATTTTAGACCAATAACCGAAGAATCGAATAAGAACAGGAATTCCCTAATTTTTTAATGTTCATCTTAAATAAGTCAAATAATTTTATTTTTTTAAATAAATTTGTTAACTAATTAATTTAGTCCAAAACCAAAAAATAATTTTACAATTTCTAATTTCTAGCCAACACAACTTAATCAAATTGACCTAAGTTTTACCCAAATCCCTTATTTTACCGTAGCGTCGTTTCTGTCGTTATATTATTTTGAACTGGCCATATTGCTCTTCATGTGATTTTAACAATCAAATCTATGAAGAAATCAATAAAGAAAGATGCAAAAAATATCACGAGATTTGACTACGTTATTTTGTAAGATTGAACATGTCATAGTCGAATTAATGTAACATTGTTGCAATATTAAAAAAATTAATTATTGTACGGAATTCGAGAATCGAACCGAACCGAACATAACCCAAACGATTCCATAATTAAATTTGGACCGACAGTTTTATTTACTAAATATTCGAAAATTCGGATTCGATTCTCTTTAGAACCGAACTGAATCGAATCGGTCCACTCCCAGCCCTAAGCATAATTTTCAATTCAAATTCTAATTAAAAAGAAACATAAAGCGAACTGCGGGTGAGCTCGATTCACCACACCAAGAGGCGAGCTCTTGGGATTTTGAGCCCGGTCTCGATTATATGAGCTCGCTCGCCTGATGGGCTGAACTAAGTCGAGCCGCCTATTGGCCCGTTTTACCCCCTTAGTCAAACCAATTTCGTCTTTCGCAGAGCCCATCTCGATTTCGTGTAAGTTCGCTCGCGTGATGGCGGAGTGAAGTCGAGGAGCCCTGCCCGGCCCATTTAACACGCTTAGTCCAACCAGCTCTCATACCAATCATCTTTCTCGGCAAATCAAAAACCCTCGAATCTGGATTAGCTTCAAATCCTCATCCACTAATAAACATATACGTACACGTCCTGTGTATGTAATAGATTACACAGAGTTCTACATACATAGCATTTTAGAATTTTGATTTTCAATCAAATCCCTAAAAATGCCAAATTACTGCTCGGTTGTGTTGCCCACTGCGCTTAAATTGTAAGTAGTTCCAAAAGCCAAGCTGTTTAAATCCATGAAACTGATTATGTAATATTCTTGTTATATTTGCTTGCAGATGCCCTCCAATAGTTTCTCTCGATTGCCACTGTCAAGTATTCTATAATATGCAATTTCCACTCAATCTGAATTTTCGGCTTGGGAGAGGTTCGTGATAATATACTAGCAACTGCTACGACGCTTTTTTTTTTGGTTTTGTTTCCCATAGAGAATTGTTTTCCCATATGAATTATGATTGAAGAATAGGAGCTAAGTTGCTCGTTTTGTAGGAAGGATAGTATGACGATCAATTTTCTATCCCCTCAAGTGGACTTCTTTAATATGTGGGAGAGCTGAGTTCGATTGAGCTGAAACATTTATAATGTCCCCTCAATTCCATGTTAAACATTCTGCACAGCAAATATGTAATTCAATCATTCATGGCTGTGCAAGTAGACATCATCATGTTTTTACTGGTGGATCATTATCAATTTCAGGCTCAAATGGATGCCTGTATAGTTATGTATTTGATCACATTCTTAGTAGGATTCCCTTCAGCTTTAATTTGACTACCCAAGCTTAGAAAGTTTCCAAGCCATTGACCATAATGGTCTACTAATGAGTGTGATTTTAAGATCATGACACTAAAGTGAAAAACTATTTTATGGTGATTGCAGGTAGCAGGAACCAAAAGGTTTCTCAGCTGAAGGCTGGCTTTTGGGATTCCATCAGATCAGGGTAAATGGAAATATCTGATAATCATTCTTAATTGTCGATTACATTTACGTTATATTTAAAGCTTTTGAGGTTTGGAAACTTCAGATATGGTGACCATACACATCCACAGAATGTCTTCTTGCATTTGCATACAATCAGTGTAAAGCAACACGTTGACAATATCAACTGATCTCAACCTGACCAACGTATCGCAACACTTAAAAAAGGGTATTCATGTATTTATTGGATAAGCTTGGCACTTAACATTCCACAGGGCTAGCAGTTTACCTTCCTGCTTGTCTTTGTAGTTAGTGTATGTTACGCTCCATATAGAAATCTCAACATGTCAAGTCTGGAGTTTGAATCAAAGAGAGAAAGCTACAATAACGCCTGTATATTCGGTCTTGCAGGATTTTGAAGAACAATACAACACAAGTTATAGAACCACCTTCCACTACTGAAGAAGAGGAGGAGCCCTTACCTGAAGAGTTTGTTCTAGTCGAGAGGACCCTACCTGACGATACTGTTGAACAAATCATATTTTCTTCCGGTGGGAACATTGATGTGTATGATCTCCAAGCCTTATGTGATAAGGTGATTAAACTTATCTCGTTGTCTTCCACGCATTTCACACTTATTATGCTTTCTTTCAGTAAGGTAAAATGTTATTAATATCCAAAAAGGAACACAGTGTAAGGCATCACAGAGTTACCACCTTAGAGAACCAAACAACACCATACTGTCAATTTTTGATTGATTGCTTCTGAGCTATTGACCAATTTTTTCTGTGTCAACCGAACGTATGGCTTTGTTCTACAATAAGAGGTTATTAATGGGAAAGGTCTATTAACATTTATTGTTGAGGACTAAATCAGGCCATTTTCACTGGTCACCAGAGCTACAAGATTCGACTAGACTAAATATCCCATTTTGAATATTAAATGTAACGCCCCAAATTTCAAAGTCAACTTGAGAGTTCCAAAGTTTACTTTATTCATAACTTAGCGGATAATACATTGTAATAATTTATAATTTCCTAAGCAAACCACTCGATATTTATATGACAAAACCGCCTAGGAAGTTAAATATGACAAAACTATAGAATTTATTACTTAATACTGAACTTTGGATTAATCAAGCTAAAGCATATAGTATTCATATTTCAAGTCATGCAGTAAGCATTGATTGAAAACCAACTAAAATTAATTAATTACAAGCTTGTGAAATCAAGTTCATTTGACAAGTGAAAGAAAAACTTAGCCCCTATTTTGCCCCCATTTTCTAAAACTCATTTTCAACCACACATTTCATGGACCCATAATTTTTATCAACTTTTTAATTAACATATTTCATCGACTTCTACTAATAATCTAATTTTTTTATCTAAACCAAACAGGGGCTTGATTGTCACACTTACAATAATAGTTCCTTCACACATTCCTTAATAAAATGAGTATTGCAATACCTAGTAGAGTACGTGCATCCATATACTACGTTATCACATAAAACTCAACGATTCATACAATCATTTCATCGAGAGTAGTTGGTGATTAAGTGATAGCTCTAGTAAAAATATTTTTGTGTAGTTCTCTCATTTCATTTTATAGAAGACTCGATGGTCAATTAGCATTTCACGTAGAGATGAATGAAATAAGACAATATAGTAAAAGGGTAGCCAACTTGCACGTATAATATGTCCTACCTTGAATATTGCAGAAAGGTGAACTTGGCCCAAAATGGAAAGTTGCTGAAATTCTATTTGCCTCCTTCGATACGTATAGTTTAAGTGATTTATATGTGAATATGCCATGAGAATGAGTGCAAGAGGGTGAGGGATTATGTATAAGAGAGAGAGAGAGAGAGAACTAATAAGAGAGATTGTGAGAAAGAAATGTGTGAGAATGTAAGAACGAGAGAGGGATGAGAGAAATAAGGGATAGAGAGAGTGGGAAGAATAATATGAGAGAGGCGTGAGAGAAATAAGGGATGGAGAGAGTGTAAGAAATAAAAAGAGAGGGATAATGGGGAAAGAAACGTGTGAGAATGTTTGGGTGTATAAGAGGGGTGAAAGAAATAAGGGATACAGGGAGAAATAGAGGGGATAGAGTGAGAGAGAGAGATGGAGATGTATGGGATAGTCTTGGAAAGTGGGGAAAATCTCATAAATTCAGCCGTCCTAATCTCAAAATATGGTGACGGTTGAACTTTTTTTTTTATCTATTTATTGTATAAAATTATTTGAAAGGCAAAAACAGCTAAATTAATTTATTTCTAGTAAAACACTGAATGGGCTTAAGAGTTAGGCATTGGACTATGCTTGGACTGACTTGGCTAGGCAATACATGGTCCGGGCTTTTTATCTTAAAAGCCCAATAAGTTAATTGATAATATTAAGCCTCAAAACGAAATTTTCAGGGTGTTGCAGTAAAGCTTTCTGATAGAGATGAAACCAAGGTACTCGAAGGGAACCTAGTCCCATCACCATGATGTTCTGCTCCTTGACCCAAGAATAGGCTTAAAGCACAAGTTGGTGCATTCCTTAAGTTTTCAAATTTTGAGAAAAATGTAGCTGCATGTGTAACACACCAAAAGTTCCTAGGTAACTGGGCTCCAATATATTATTTTGAGAAAATATGCTATCTGTCTCTCTGTGGAGGCCTTTTCCCATTTATGAGACAATTTTAACCCCAACATCCCTCCTTGAGACAACAGTCCTTATTGTAACTTTAAACCCTGAATTCCCTCCACATCTTTTCAGAAGAATTTCTCCTCATCAATCTCTTTCCAACGTTCTTGGGAAGCTGGAATACATGATCCTGATAGTCGATAGACTTAGTAGATGATAGAATAGACTGCACAAGCTACGCCCAAATGCAAAGGATATGGCCTTGTTTGCCCAAGATTTGAGCCTGAAATTTATTTGTATATCTCGGATTTAAATTCAAGTTTGGAAGTGTCAATTTGGACTCATAAACATTTTAAGAGATATGTTACCCTCGTTAAAGTCAGGATTCTCTGAAAATTCACCGTTTCTCATTAATATCTACTCCTGAGAACAAGATTTCAGATTTCAATATATTCAAGTCGCCTAGCTTTCTTTACTTGTTGCGTACAAAATGATTTTACACTGAGCCAAATAGAAGAATTTCACCCTCTTCCTGTTGAGAAAACTTCAAGATAATAGAAGATTCAGTTGGATTGGTTGGAATTTGAAATACCTCATCATATAGCTTGGACGCTTATAAAACTCTTTGATTGAGGTTCTCTCATTGTTTGAGCCCATTACTTATTTAGATTTCGGTTGGGGTAGGAGCAGAAGACAGATTCAATTTAGTCAAAAATTGATAAGTGGGAAAAAGGTTTTTTTGAGTTGAACAGAGCTGATCAGGGACGGGAATAATTTACTGTACATTAATTAATTTGTATCATGCTCAATTGACCTGGATTGTACTTGTATGACTTTACTGCCGGTATCCTAATTGATTCACAAAATACTAGTATGTTAAATATTTGGAAGTTGAGTTAGCTTACCTATTTGGTGGGCCATCTCCTCGCCAATTATTTGCTTGACGCTAGTTTTGTTTTTTTTGTGTGGAAACATAAATCAATATATAGCTTATTACCTTTAAAAAAAAAACATAAATCAATATATAGCTTATTTCCTTGTTAAATTTGATAGGTTGGTTGGCCTCGGAGGCCACTGACAAAGCTAGCTGCTGCTCTGAGGAATAGTTACATGGTGGCTACTTTGCATTCCATAAAGAAATCAACTGGAGAAGGTATTTAGTAATAGGCCTTTCTGTTGGAATTAGCTTTTCCTCAGACTGGCTGTCGATTATGATGTGTTATTAGTAAATTATTCTTAACCTATGTAAATGAGTATTACAGTTTCTTTTAAACTAAGTGACGGACATCTTAGTGTACTTGCGGAAGTTGCTTGGCAGAGGGGAATGACCAAAAGAAGCTGATAGGCATGGCCCGAGCTACATCAGACCATGCTTTCAATGCAACAATTTGGGATGTTCTTGTTGATCCTTCCTATCAGGTACTCGAATGTTATAATTTATATGTGGATAATTGACCCTCGCTTGTACAAGCTTATACTAATATCGCTGCTTGCTATTTAATTAATTTTAACAATTGCCTTTTTGCATTACATGGTTTTGGATCCTTACCACTGGCCATGATCTTTTGGCTATTCTATAGAGCGTATCCTCGTGAAATATTGCGAATAGTTTTCGACATTCTTGGCTGCATGGATTACAATGTCAGAATGATGATGCTATCATTCCTTTCTTCATTTTGTTTTGATTCTATTTGTATTTATTAACATACAAAATCTGGTTTAAAGTTCTAGAAGAACCATCTATACAAAAACCTATTGACAGCTTAAAATTAAAACAGAACCTACTTACTAATACTCCATGTTCGGTGAGGAAAAGATTAATTGTTGATGGTTCTTCAAATAAATTCTATTGCTATCCTGCGTCATCACTGGATCTTTGTTTACGCGTTTATGGATGTTGATTCTGCCTTTGGATAATGCAGCTGTAGTTTTCTTAAAATGTGTCTAGCTCATTCTTATTACTGTTGAATTATGAGGCGGTAGTTTTGACAATTTATTGGTTATGTAGGGCCAAGGGCTAGGAAAAGCCCTCATTGAGAAGCTTATAAGAGCACTCTTGCAACGGGACATTGGAAATATTTCGCTGTTTGCAGATAGTAAAGGTACATAAACAAGATTATGGTCTGTAGCAAATACTTGACTTAGGGTCAACTGTCATATATTAGCAGTCGAGAAGAGGTTGCAACAATTTTTGACGAACCCTTTGTATAAGATGCCTACAAGTCTCAAAGTTCTAGTGTCAATTTCTAAAACGACATCGTTTCTTTCGTTTGATGCAGTTGTGGAATTCTACCAGAATCTGGGCTTTGAGCCCGATCCAGAGGGCATCAAAGGTATGTTTTGGTACCCAAAGTATTAGTTGAGCTCCGTTCAGCATTCATCACAACTGCTAACAATATTGGGTTGCGTGTGACAATGTACATGTACCATATTTTTCATGTACAAGATTTGTATGGGGGAACGCATTTTCATTTTTCTGTAAAGCTCTATTTCTCTGCTCCAGCTTGTAATTCCTTGCAGCCTTTTGGAGTTCACCATATTGCACGTATTATACCATCTCAAACTAAACAAATTTCAAGATACTTGAAGTGCAATTGCACTTGATATTTGCATAATTTGTATAATTTTCCAAATGTTTGGAATTCACCATATTCCAGTGATATTCCAAATGTTTGTATAATTTCATTCAGATTCACGAAGTATGATCATCCACGACAACTGAACGACATTATAGGTGTTTTTAATGTACAGTTTAGATCAAAACGCTAAGAATTGACAAAGTTCGAAACTAGACTTGACACTGCAAATTTGAAAGTAGAATTAACACTGCACATTGATCATAGCCCATCAATTTAAATCAGTTGGGTCCAAAATGAGCTACTGGAACATTGACAGCAGCAACTATAATTTCTAATGAAGCTACTCATACTGGGAACCTGACACTGCCTCAGCACCAACTAAAACCCCAAAACCTGTGGCTTTATACTAGAAAACCACACGTCACGCATCGATCTAAGCGCACAATATCAGCAGGTAATGTTCCAAGACATGGGCATTACAACCTTAAATTAGAATTTTCATAAACGATTTATATTTACATGATGATATGTGCTAACATTTGTAGATCGATGAGAACAAAACTGATCACTTATGGTAAGAAAACCAGAACAGTTACCTTGGAAATGCACGAAGGCCCATTATAATGAGCCACGTTGAAAGTGCTCTGAAGATGTATCCTTGTTCCGTCTTGACTGATCAGATACCTGAAACAAAAATGTGAGATCTTCCACTGTCAGACGAGTTGCGGTGCCACCACTTTGATCATCGCCAAAAGCCGATGCAATCATTTTTCTCTTGTCATCCTGAAGGCATAAGAAAACAGTAGATAATTCAAATCTATTAATATAAAATGACAACAGCACTCGTTAAATTACACTACATTTAATTTTCATTATGTCAAATAGAAAATGAGACGAGATATATGCAAAAAATTCAACTGATGATACGTTGGTTATACACTTTTATAGCATTTTACTGTGTTCAAAAAATAAAATTAAATGGGAAAGATAAGTAATTGGAATGAAAAAAGAAATCAAATTCAAGAAAGCTTTAATTTATTTTGAGCTATAGGTTTTCGTCTACATTTTCTCAAATAATGACACTTGGAATTGCAACAGCACACTACTTTTTTCATGATCTAAACAAGTACCTAAAAGGAAAGCATATTTGATAATTGGGGTCAACAAACCCTAGGAATGAAAATTGGAGAATTGAACATAAAGAATGGAGTTAAAGAGTTCCTGCTCACCTACGCATGCATATTAGATTTAGACAAGGTAGGCGTGTTATTTGCTCTGATACATGAAGCTGAAGAGGGGATTAACATTAATTAGATTTGTGGATCTACGTGAAATGTCAGCCAAAGTGGTCTGGTTAGTAGTCACAAAGGATGAACTTTTAGTCAACATTGCAATGCAGGTCTAGAGAGTGAAGCAATAATAGAGCTAAAATATATACATCAAGAAAGGATATTTGGGGTTTGGGCTCAAAAATTCATAGAGATGAAACTTTGTGCAAGTGAGTTTTTTGGAGAAGTTTTCACGAGTCCCTGTTAAACTGTGAATACCCATCAAACTGAATGGGAAAATGTGGTTTGCAACAAGGATCGTCCATATCATTGAATGGAGAATGTTTTACGCAACAAGAGCTAGCTGAGATGAGAATGTTGGCATGGGAAATTGATAAATTAAGAAAACAATAAAATATGAATATTAGCATATCTTTGAAATGGTAAAAAACCTTAGAAGATTAAGGGCTTGTGTGGGAGGGATTAAAATCAGAATAAAATTGAAAATATATTAAGAAAACAATAAAATATGAATATTAGCATATCTTTGAAATGGTAAAAAACCTTAGAAGATTAAGGGCTTGTGTGGGAGGGATTAAAATCAGATTAAAATTGAAAATATAGCCGTTATTGTTGACTTTTATTAAACGAGTGGGGCCCAATAACGGCCATATTTTCAATTTTAATTGGCTTTTAATCCCTCCCGAACGGGGCCTAACAAACAGAATATTGATTGAGATGATTTCAAGTCATTGAACAGACTAATTTCTGCACAAGAAAGGCGCAACCCTGAGTCATGCAAAGATCAAATAAATACCATGAATTATACTTTAAATGAAATACAGTTCAAGTAGTATAGGAAGCAATTACTCTACTCAGAGCAAAATGGAGGAAACAGACACGATCAGCTTAAATATGGAGTGAGGTTAAGTTGTGTTGGATTGAGTAAATAAGCCCTGAGAAAATTAATGCGTGATATATATAAATGACGCGGTTAGAGGGAAAAAATGATGTCATCCAATAAATGAGAATATTAAAGGAGGACGTATCAGATAGATCAGGAAAACATGAAAGATCCGAAATAATCGTAATATAGCTTTTTTCCACTTTCTTGCATAATCTCTAACCACCACACTGGCCTATCAGATAGATCAGGAAAACATGAAAGATCCGAAATAATCGTAATATAGCTTTTTTCCACTTTCTTGCATAATCTCTAATCACCACACTGGCCTGAAGATAACAAGTAAATGGATCAACTGGTAAATCATACAAAATATAAACTACCTGAAGAGATAAAATTCGATCTTCCACTGTGTCCTTAATGGTTAACCGTGATACAGTAACTTCACGCGTCTGTCCTATTCTGTGGGCTCGATCAACAGCCTGATCTTCAGTTGTAGGATTCCACCAAAGATCCAAAAGGATTACGCGACAAGCAGCAACCATGTTTAGACCAAGATTTCCAGCTTTTAGCGACATCAACATAACCGACACCTGCAAAACCCAATTCTTATGTGAGGAAACAGTCCACTGGAATCAGCAAAGCAAGGTACAAAGACAAGCTCAAAATAAGACGTGGTACACCAAGGAAACCACATTGGCATCTCAAAGCACGTCTAATAGAATACGTCATGAAAACATATAACGGGTAATTAGACCCATTAACAGTCTAGATTAGAAAACGGATGCAATACATGTACCAAGAGTACCCTCATTGAACATTCCCTAAATGAGCGCATGAAGCACATATAAGTAACAATAACACTTGAGAAAAACTAATTTATGATCACACACAATTTTGTAGGGTCTATTTTCTGAAAAGAAAAATCTAAGGCCAAAATGTTGATGCCACAATGAAAAACAAATTTGGAGCACAAAGTAGGGTTATTAGAAATTATTATGGGATGGAGTATTTTATAATATCTAGGCCAAATTTTCTCTCACAGAATGGAAATGTTCATCAATAATCATCTTCTTGTTGATGTGCTAGCAAAATGGTATTTCCAAGAGAAAACACAGACATGATAGGAAGTAACATGATCCCTTGTGTTTACAACTAGGGTACCAAAACAATTTTGGGAAGGAACAATTCTGATAGCGTATTTGATTAAATCGCATGCCTATACACATTCTGAATTCAAACCCCTTTAGTGAAGACCCATATCTATCCCAACTCTGAACTCTTCATTTCAAGTCCTCTTAAACTCTTCTGTTCTAGCGTTTCCATGAGCACAATTATCTAGAAAATACAGACCACGAGCTATCAAATGTATTTTTGGGATACTCTCCTAGAAAAAGGTTACAGTTACTATAATCTTGAGTTTAAGATTGTTCATCACCTTTGAAGTCACTCTCTCTGAAAACAAGTTTTTCTTCCGCGAACTTCTCTTTGGGGGAAAAGTTCAGAGGGAAATCAATTTTAGGGATGAGACACTTTACTCTTGGGTGCCATTAACTATGACCAAATAACATGCGGTGGAGGACACCATTCTAATATCCCAAAGAGAAGTCGTTATATCCATATCCCTCAAAATAGGAAACCATTCCAAACCCCCCACTCCACTTCGATTCTCATCTTCGTCCGTACCAAGAATTCATACCCACGCCTTTGCCTTCCATTGTGATCATGTTCTTAGACTTCCAAAAACTCATCAATCTCTGAACTAACCTAGAACTTGTATCTCCCTCTTTAAACCATCTAAACTTCAAATTTATTTGTCTCCAATAGATCAACTCCTTGAAGATTATCTCTTCTAGCCTTTTTCTCAATAGATAACATTCCTTCCTGAGCTCCTCAATCAGGTTGCCCTACATAAGTTATTGCCTTTAGGCTCTATCAATCCTCTGATTCCCACAGACTTCTACATTTTAAAACCAGAGTCAATTCCCAAGCAGCTTCAATTTTGCCCTTTGAGGCCTCTCACCAATCACAAAACTTTTCGACACGCTACCGTCTAAACTTAGGATGTCATAACAAGATGCTTCCACGTCTGATTTACATGTGGGCACAACTCCTGTCAACCAAAATAAACTATGAACATATCTGATTTACAAGAGACCACCTTTTCTCTGAAATTATACGATGTGAACTTGGAATTCCGAAAAGGTATATCCGTAAGTTCACACTCTAATTTAGAACAGTCCAAGAGTTTCATACTTCTAATCACGAAATGTCCTAACTAGCCCAGTCCATCATCATGGTCACACATCTCACTCTTTTACCCTTCCTCTTTCTCTGCCCATGATCCCATCAACAACTTCCTGACTGCCAGCAACTTCACCCCTCTATCCTTCTCATTTCTCAAGAGCACAAACTAAGGTTTCATGGAAAACAATTCATTATTAGATAAAAAGCCTTAGGGATTCACAGGGCATTGACTACTATGAGCAATTTATTGTAACCTAGATTGGACCGCGGTGATCACTAACCAAAAAGCCTGAACACTTTATGAACAAGGATTAGTTGGACAGCATGTAAAGATAAAAAAGGTTTCACTCTCATCATAAGCTTAAAGTGACAACTAGCTATCATTCCATAGCTCAACATCAATGATATCACAATAATTTGTGCAAAGCACACAATAATACAACTGAGGATAAGATTATGTCACTCTCTTCAAAATAATCAAGAAGATCAATGAATATTCAAGAAACGGAAGAAGTTAACATTTGTGCCAAGTGCCTTAACAAGTAAAAGTCATCAAATACCACTGGATAAAGTTATATATGCAAACAAACAACTATTTAACAAGATCACTTCTATTCTCAGTCTTAACACCTCTAAATTCCCATATGCTTGCTGATGCATCTGCCATTGAAGTCATACTGTAATTTTCCGCTCAAAGAATGGTCCACAGGTTCATCCAATAGATCCACACTGAATGATCCTTTGCGTTTAATCAGATTTATGTTCCAAGTAATAGAATTTAATGGCTAATAGCTATATTTATTTGCTAATCAGAATGTACCAAACCAAAACACATCTTCAGTTTAAAGATAACATTGTAGGTACTTTTGCATACAAAAGGATAAAGGATTGATAAAACAACAAGCATTATATCAATATTAAAGGGAAATTATCAACATAATTTAAGAGCTGACAAGTGAGAACTATATGTCCAAATAGATACCGATGAACATTTTGATAGTCACATCGACCGAGAAGTGGCAATGTCCACAGAGTGAAAACAATGAATTCATTAAAGCTAGAAAAAACGAGTAACAAAGAGATAGGAATCGAACTTCGGGTATGGTATTGAAATCTTTGACAGCCCTGTCTCTTGCAAGTAGAGTCATTGTACCATCAAGCCTCCGGTAACTTATACAAGAATCCTTCAGGGACTCCTCAACTAAGTTCAACATGCCAGTCCACTGGGAGAAAACAATAGCTTTTTCAGGTCCGTCGGTATCTGAATCTAGGTAACTTATACCTGAAGATGAAGCACTGCTGCTGGTCTTGGGTTTGCAATGTGACCTGAGAATCTCTAAAACCGCTCTGATTTTAGAGGAGAGGTAATCCTTGTGGAGAACCATAGAATTCTCATCAAATTCTGATGAGAAAGGGACATCATTGTCAGTATCACTAGAGATACATCTCCACAAGGTAGGTTTTGAATATACAACATCAGCTCCAAGTTGTTCTTTACATTCAGGGGCTGGGCATGTACTGTCTTCCCCTGTCAAAAACTCGTTGACACACTGATAGCAGAAAACATGTCCGCACATGGTGACAACAGCATTTTCAGGAGGATCCTGTTGAACATCAATCATCAGACTGTTGTGCAGCATACTTTCGGTGCTAAAGAGAACAAACGATCAGAGAATTAAAAATAAGTAAACATTTAACTTGTTATCTGAAAATAAATTTTGGAACTTACAAACCATTTTATTAGTGTCCAAGAGTAGGGAATACCACACAGTGTATCCCTCATCTCAATAGATGGACAAATCGACTATGTATGTGATTGTGAACCATGAACAATGTGCATATGTCTACTACAAGACAAAACTATCTTTGAAACATCTCATGTTTGAAAGGAACCTTTGAGAAAAACACAAGAACATGATCGGTCAATCGTAAATACACGTGAGAACGAAAAGAAAAAGTCTGTCCCAAGGGAAGGAAAGGTGTTTCAACTTTGGAAATTCCAGTCTTGCAAGACTTCCCATTATTTTTCCTTCAAGAAAGACCACGTGACACAAGTGAGGAGCATCCCAAGTCCCCTTTTACCTCGTGCAAGTAAAACGTAACCTCCAGCAATATGAGAAAACTTAACATAGAGTTTGTGGTTCAAAAGACACCACAAAGAGAGAAAATCACGAGCTAATCTCACCACAGTAGCTGAAGTTTATTCAATCTTTTCTCCGTTCTAGAGAAAATTCACCACTTTCTAGAGAATATCTATTTGATCTTAAAGTTTTATGTGGCTTAAAACAAAGAAAGTGATGCACAAAGCATCACAGTGCCATCACGAAGCTTCTCAAGGTAGAATCATAACCAAAGATTCTTGGTATGCTACTCATAAATCAAGTGCAGCATAGGTCAATTTTATTATCTATTTAGCTCCTGTTTGGGCTCCATTATTTCCGAAATACATTTTTTCAAAATTCATTTTCAACCAACATCCTTCCATAAAATAATATTACAAATAAACCCAAAAAAATTCTTTATCTTTTAACCACATATTCTCCAAAAAGTCACTATTCCAAAATACATTTTCTCCCAAAATCATATTAAAATTGAGCCCAAACAGGGGCTTAGTAAATTTAGAAACAAAAAAGCACAACAAAGACTTGGTGGGGGTGAGGGTGGGGGCAGTGGCATGTCAAGAAGTTTACTAGTATGCAAGCACCAAAAGCAGCAACCATGCTATGGAAAGAGTTTAACAAGGGATAACATACTTTGCATACAAGACATATTGCCAGGGAAGCTTCCAAAAGCTTTAGTAAATTCACTAGCAGTTCCTTGGGGAGCCTCTTCGCCATGTCAGTGGACTCTTTTCCAACAGGGTCGGAGCTGAGTCCTTTGACAAGTAGAGGGTGATCACAAGCTTGGCGAAGACGGAGGAGCAGCAATAGAATATTAGCATAATTTTGATTCACAGTACCAGCAGCCGCATAAGCCTGCATTTATGGATAATTCACAATTTCGCAAAGATCAGTAAACTGAATAAAAGATACAATTATAAGATTTTTATCAAATCCTCTATAATAAAAAATTTTTAAAGGAAAAGCAAGAGAAAACTTGTATTCAGACGGTAAGAGTATCTGATGAGGACATCACTTGTTTTGGGCCATCTTATTTTGTTGTGGACCATTTACTTATGTTTTATTTAGTTGGATTTGTATCATGGCCAGCCCAAGCCCTTTTGTCTGTAGGGTTGTTTTTTTTTCCTATTTATAGTTGGTATTGTAACTTGAACAAGGCAATTGATGAATAAGATGATCAATGATATGCTCGGTTAACAAGTTTTCTCCTCCCTGTATTCTTCTTCTTGTTCTCTTCTTCTATGGTCTTCCA